TATGCTGACTTCGTCACCAGGGCAGTTCAACTCTTCTGAGCAGGAACAGTACTCTCCCGGTTCTAACACGGGGTTGCGAATCGATGAGGACGTTGACGAAGGCGAAATAACGGAGGAAAGTGACAGCGATATACTGTCTATCGCTGATTCAGATGAAGACTCCGAATGTGATGAAACAGGCGCTGACCAGAACACGTTCATTCGTCAAGATGAAAATGGACGGCTTGTGAAAGTAATCCGACATACTCGCAAAAGAAATCAACAGATTGACGCGCTACCGTCCCAGCCTGACGTCGGAATTGAACCGTCCCTTGACAACTCAACACGTAATGAAGCTGATGAAGAGGAGATCGAGATGAAACCGTGAGTGATTAAAGTTACGTGTGTCGTCTTCGGAAACCTTCATTAGCCTTCTACTTTTCAGTGATCGAGAAATCTTGGATAATCCTCGCCATTTACTTCAGCGAGCTTCTGCTGTTTTACAGGGTTTGGGAAAAGCACAAGGTAGGTAGTGAATCCATGTTGTGACACCACTAGCCCTCCTCTGCCAGTGTTCCTATGCTATTAATTGTTTTGAACTTATGAACACATAAATAAGGATGTAGGGTAACGTCTTTGCCGTCGATCAATCTTTTTCTGGGATGCTCCCATTTCGAATCGCGAGCTTATTGAATGCTATGTTGACTATACAATAACTAGCGGGGTCCTCCGTGTCAGTGCTCCTACCCTTCCAGACGCCTTGTACCGTCCCGGAGGATTGAAGGTTTAGTCGGCCTGGACAGGAGCCGATGCGGTATTAGACTCCACCGAGAGCGTGGTAAGCGTACTTGCCTCCACACCACTTGACCTCAGTTCAGTAGACATGAACCAAGAAAGGACTATTATTTTAATTAATTTTGTCTTTTTTTTTCTCCAAGTTCATCGGTCTTTTATGAGTGCAGTGAGACATCATTATCAATGCGTAGAGGTGTGAAGCTTCTTACCATTTTTTCTATTTTGTAGTGGGAGGATTCTTTTTTAGTTAACAGATTTCCACAAGCGTTCTAGGATCGCTTTCATCAAGATTCAAACCTATTCCGGTAGTAGATTACGCATTTCCAGGAACCCAATATACACAAATGCCGTACGATGATGACTACGAAGAAGAGGAGTGTATACAACCCATGGATAGCTTCCACGGAGAGCCTGTTCCTGATGATGATGAGCTTTTCGAGGTCACTATATGAATAGAAGACCTTGTTTCCTGAAAAGATATCAAAAATGAATTTAGTATTTGCCTCTGTTATAATTTCAGGTGGCTGCAGGAATCAAGCCAAAACGGAAGGAGGAGGTCATTGTTGAAGAGCGTATTCCTGAATCGACGGAGAAGTTCGAGATAGATTTTTGTAAGCACGAATGGATTTTGGATTTCGCTTTGATTGAGTGCAGAACGATCCCTATAAGTACCACAGCCTTCCGTAAATCGTTGAAAAGTTTTTTGGCTCGTCGGTTACTGAAGAGGTCGTCGCTTGCTAACCAAGAAGGCAAAGTTCTCTATTAGTCACCTATATTGCTCAAAATTGTACTATTTCAGGGCCTATATGGTTCTTGACCTCGAACAACAGAAAGGGTACCAAAAATCTGTTATATCAAAGTATGGCATGTGCGAATAAGCTCAAACGTAGTTTTGTGGACTGTATCTCCCTGGATCTTTTTTGACAGATTGGGGATCATTTGGGAAAATCCGGAAATTGCTTGATCTAAGCATCGAAGAGGATTTCGATAGGAAACATACATGTTTAACCTGCACTACTTGAAAACGTCCCTTGTCTAGCTCACTATAAAAAAAGAGCAGTACTGTTGCTAAAAATCTGGAGTCTTCGCCATTGAGAAATCCTTTTGGGATGCAGCGCGCATTCTTCTTCCATTCAATCGTAGTGACTTCATCAATGCGATATGGTCTATGCAATGACTCCAGATTTTTA